CTCCTCTCCTCCACACCTCTCCTCCTCCTTCTCCTCCACCAACACCTGCTCCTCCTCCTTCTCCTTCTCCACCACCCACCATCACCTCCTACTCCCCTCCTCCTCCTCCTCCTCCTCCTTCTCACCACCACCCCACCTCCTCCTCCTCCACCTCTTTCTTCTCCTCCTCCACCTCCTCTTCCAGTCAATGTAGCAAGAGGTATCCGTGTTCAAACAAGCAAGTACTGACAATAAGGAGTCGACCCTACCCCTCCCTCCCTCCCTACTCTCCTTCTCCTCCTCTCCTCCTCCTCTTCGCTCACCCCCCCTCCCTCCTACCCCTTCACCATCCCCCATACCCCTTCCTCTCACCCACCACCTAACCGACCGTACTACCCGCCTTTTTAAAAGAAAAAAAAAGAAAAAAAAGAAAAGAAAATCTTTTGATCTCTTACAAAAGAACAAGTCCCCCCCCTTTTTTTTTACCCTTTGCCATTTTCTTTAGTCTCCCCTTCCGCTCTTTCGACCTAAAGAAAACGGAGATGAGTGAACATAAAGCGACCACCTACCCCCCCCCATCCCCCCACCCCCACCCTAAAAAAAATAAATATATAAAAAGTAAAAAAAAAAAAAAAAAAAAGAGAGAGAAATGAGCCATTCCAAATAGATCTTTCAGAGTTCAAGATTAGCAGAGGTTAAAGGGTGGTGGGGGGGGGAGAGAGAAGGGGGGGGGGTAATACAGAGGGAAATATGGGGAGGGAGAAAGGGGTAAGGGAGATTGTAAGGGAGAGGGGGGAATAAAAGGGAGATAAAGGGAGGGATACACATACATACATGTACACAAATGTACATATATATATATATATATATATATATATATATATATATATATATATACATATATATATATATATATATATATATATATATATATATATATATATATATATATATATCCATATATATATATATACATATATAATGTATATATATATCTATACATATATATGTATATATATATATATATATATATATATATATATATATATATATATATATATATATATATATATATATATATATATATATATATATATGGTAATTTTCTATATTACCTTCGCCTCTCCGATATCGATGATTTTGGTATCGTTGGATTCCTCTCACTCTGTACAATCCAAATATGTAGGTTTTATTGCGCGGAAACCCCCCGTTAGCGGGAAACTTGGGCACTATATCGGGGGCGACGATGTCGGAGCGGCGGCCGGAGCGACGGACGTAATATAGAAAATTACCCTAATAATATAACCCACAGTGAAAATATTCATGGTTATTCACATGACTTTTCATTGCAGGGGGCTGTGTCCCCTGCGACCCCCCGCCGAGGAACAAATCCCCCACATATTCACGGCAGGATAGAGCGCACACGAACTAGATGCGGAGCCGATAACTTACCCTCCATAACCTAGTAGGAGCACCTCCACACTCGGTCATCGCGGCGGCTATGGCGAAGTACTGAACGCGGCGGTTATTTCGGTTAGGAATTCGAAAATCGTGGTTCCAGGGGACGGGAAACTCGACCTTGAGGCCATCGGCGTAACATCGAGAGAGGCGCAAAACCCGCCGACGAGGGCGCTCTTCTGTTCATGGTAGTTCATCGTGATTATAACAATCGTGTCTGTATACAATGCTGACTATGTCAAGGTTAGTATGCTGATTCAGTGGGAATGTTACGAGATCGACGATAATTTTGTAACGCTCTAGCCTGCCGGGAATACGGGGTGGAGGTTTTGTTTCCTTTGGGGGGGGGGGGGGGAAGTTGTGTGAATAACCATGGTTATTTTCACAGTTGGTTATATCATTAGTGTTATTTAACCCCGCATTTTCCCTGGAGCCTTCCATGCCCTTCCTTGCTATCGGGTCCAAGTTTGTCGCTAACGGGGGGTTTCCGCGCAATAAAAACTATATATTTGCAATGTGGACAGTGAGAGGAATCCAACGATACCAAAATCGTCGATATCGGAGAGGCGAAGGTAATATAGAAAATTACCATATATATATATATATATATATATATATATATATATATATATATATATATATATATATATATATATATATAATATTTGTTGTGTATATGTGTGTATTGAAGGAAAGGGGAGAGAAAGAGATGGGGACGAAAAGAAGGAATAGGGGGAAGAGTGAGGGAGTGGGAAGAAGAGATAGAATAAATAGGGAGAAGGGGAACAGTGAATCAGGAGAAAGAAGAAAGGGAAGAGGAAGAGACTGAATTAACAAAAGGGGAAGGAGGAAAGTGAATGA